TTTCTAAAAATCTTGCATTTCTATGTTTTGTCTAAAAATTCAAAATGGCAGATCCAATATGGCTATTATATATGGGTAAATTAATGTAAGTCGGAATAAATGTAAATCAGATATGAAATATAAAAGTTTTCCGAATCGTTAATTACAGATTTTATATCAAATATATAAAATTCATTAAAGTAAAATTTGTTTATAAGAAAACCTAACGTGTGTGAAAAATTCTGAAAAATATATATTATATTTTGACATGTAATGAATATTCAGTAAAATGTTCAATCTCCAATTTTAAATAATTTCTAAGAAATTAAATTCTTTTAGATCGCTCTTTTAGCATTAGTTGTTAGTTTATAAATAATTAAAATGAGCAATCAGATATAAAAACCAGGAAACATGTAACGATCATATTTATTGCCATAAACGTAATTTTTACGTCATAAAAATAAAAGAAGAAAAGGTGGTAAGTATACTTATCACTACCACGCAAAGAATTAAACGACTTTGAAACTTTTTGTTGGCTAAAATAATTGGAGAGTCAACGACGAAAACCGATCAATCGTCATCTATGTAGTCACAAATAATTTGATTAATTATTGGAATTAATAAATAATCAACGTGTAATCTATCAGACTGAAGTGATCGGTTGAAACAATTGATTATATCTAATCACAACCTACTCGATGTTAATTTTTGTTCGTTCGGTCAAGACGAACCTGCATCGATTAACACTGACGCTATCTTGCTTCGGATAAAAAACAAAATGCAAAATCAAACGATAGTTACTTAGATAGTTACTTAGTTCCCTGCATTGTTCAACTTTTTCGTTCCGCCTTGTTCTCTTGTCTAATTATTAAATTAGTTAACAATATATAATCCGCGAGCGATTATCAAACGCGCGCTTCCTCGAGAATACTTCCTTCCTGATTGTAAATAATTAGTGGCACTTCTCAGTCGGAAACAACGTAACAAAAGTGAACAAAAGCATGGGGCGCCGCTAGTTCCGCTCCAATGAGAAGTTAAACTCGCGAAACGGGAGTTCCCGATGCACCCGACTGAAAGACAAGGGGAACGTCGCTAAACCAAACTCTATGGAAAGTTTTTCGGATAGCTGCGCAATCTGCAGCGGGTAAAGAACAGCACGACAGGAAAAGGAGGGGGCAGAGGCAGAGGTATCAACGAGAGAAACAGAGATAGTGGCAGAGAGGGGCAGCGGAGAGAGTGAGAGAAGGAGAGAAAGAAGCAAGGGGCGAAAAGTTTCGGCACGATGAAAGACTGCCTAAGCTGGAAGTGAAATCAAATAATATCTCACCCAGATCTTCTCGCTACCCTGTTTCGCCGTTGCACCCTCGTGAGCTAAAAATAATACGCGGCACCGCGATCTTAAATCTCGCTATAAACTTGGGGCGATCGTGACGCGAAATGGACATAATGCGAAGTTGCCGGCTGTCAACGGTCAATTCTTCAGCCGGTCCATGAACGATACGTCCGTCGTAAAGAAAACTATCCTACATGATATAACGTAATCACTTCGAACACGCCCTTAGGAAGAATTATTTTACAAATTTGTACAAATTAACTTAAAGTTACTTATAATTATCTAAAGTTACTTATAGTTAACTATAAATTACTTACAGTTAACTATAAGTAATTTTAAGTTAATTTGAAAATTTAAAGTAATTTTTCCTAAGGGTGCAGCGCCAACAGTGAAGAAATGAAGAAGTATGAAGAAGCACTGTGTTAAATGACCGTCAGCTCTGAGTTAATTTTTAGAGTCACAAATGCTCATTTGTACCAACTTTGGTTAGGTTAGGTTAACCCTGCCGATTATTCCAACAGAAATTACCAATCGCATTTCGTTGTTAATTAGAATTGACAAATACGATTGATCAGTTTTGATGGAATAACCAATCTCTTATGAATTAAGCACAGTTGATAAACGGGCATAAAGAAAGATTCGGAGTCGATTGAAGAAAGATGATGTTATGATCTCTTTTCTTTATGGGCAGAATCGATGTTAGATCTTTTCCAGTTATACATTACAAATATCTGGACATTTAGTGCACGCTAGATATTTATTTCGTTTCTATTTAGTTTACACCTTCCTCGTTGTTATATCAATATGTATATAAGCCTACAATAAAGTATATTAGATACTTTTGTGAAATGACATTTCTACTGTTATCAGTTATATTTACTGATACTGTTACTGTTATATTTTACGTTAATTTAACACAGCATTTATCGCCTGGAGGGTTTTTAAACAGGAAAATTTTTCATACGTGCTGTACCGTAAAGTCTTTATTTCTTACGGTCTTTCATTCGATATACAGATCTTATTTTGCTATATAATTTATTTAAAATTAATGTTTAATGCCATTTATTTTATATCTTGTCAATTATCCAAGAAATAATGGCACATCCCGCTGTGGACCGTGTTGCTCCGTTCAGCGTTCTCCATCTTGCAGCGTATACCCGAGTCGAGATTTTGGTTCCACATTAACCTTGCAAGTTTAGTCGAACTTAGAAGATTAATAGAGAATTTCCAGATGTAACTCTACAGCAACTGTTGTTCTATTTTGATACCGCAATAGTTATTTATTTTGGCTTCCTCCATGTTGAGTCTTAAAGAAGATTCATTTTGGAACATCATATTTCAGAATTATTTAACATTCTATTATTTCAAAATTCTCCACGCCTACATTTAATGTTTATACTAATTTCAATCAGCAGTAGAGAATTAGATTGATTGTAGATAAAACATAAATAATGAGATTAACTTTTACTGCTTTGATTAATGGGGATAATATTGTATAAGTAGAACAATAAACTTTCTTTATATTTAACCCTCCCATTTTTTTATTTCCTTCTATTATTTTTTTAGAATTTAGTTTTATAGATTGTTACAAATAATAATTCTTACCGACATTTTCTTGTATCTTTTATTTTAATCATGCTCTAGAACATACTACTAAAACTTTGTAAAATCATCACACACACGCGTGCATGGTATATTCTATAATATCTAATGGAAAAATTATAATTTATTAGATACTATAACATATAAATTATAACATACGATTGAATATAGTTCTAGATACTTTTATGTATGCTATTTATATATATTCGTAAATATACATATAGCATAATGTTTTATAATTTAGTATTTTCAAAGTTTTAACTATTATATTAATTTCTTTTATAACATTTCAAAAATATGTTTTTATCTTTATCCGCACTTTGTTGTTTGTTTGATCCAAATCAATTGTAATAAAATCATTTATATAGAGATTCAAAATGTTGCAATATTTTATGTGATAATGGATATTTGTAATATATAAAATTTCAATTGAAAGCTTTACGATAATTTAAAATTTGTAGCATTCCTCTTTGCGACCGTTTCTATATTTTTATAATAAATGCTAAATGTAATAATTATTGAAGAAGTTTCCATGCATTTAGTCATTATATTCTACTTATAACAAATATTTGTAAGTCATTACATTTTCAAGTACAATTAAATTTGTCAATAATACTTCAAATGCGCTAAGAAACTTTTAAATATATATCTACTAATATTTTCCGAATATTTGTCAGTGATACATTCAAGATAAAGGTTTTTCTAGCTTCCATTAAAATACTGCATTCTTCAAAAGCATTTCTTCCAAAATGAAATTATCCATAAAGTAACCGTTATCGTTAATTAAACAAAATATTCCTATATGCATAGCTAGATAAATAATGTGAGAACGATGGTAAAATATTATAGAAAGTTGAAGACTAGTTGAATATTATAATAACTTCGTTCACTCACATCTCGTTCAAACACTTTTTTTCGGCTCAAATTAAATATAATAATTGTTTTAAATTATAATAATAATTGTTTTAAAAAATCATATGTGATTTTTTACTTGGTCCAATGGTTCATTATATAGCTAATGATATATTTCATAAAGATTTGAAAATACAATCAAGGGAACTACAATTAAGGAAAAAAACTAGAGATTTTATCATTAAATATAGAGATCCAATTGAAACGCACTCGAATATATTCGCTTTTGGCCTAATGGGAAAATACGCATTTACTCGCAGAATAAAACGGAGAATCCCTCAAAATTTGATTACGTAATATCAAATTTTCTAGCATTGAGTAGCATCAAAGAATGCCCTTCAAGTTATTTCGTACTCTTACCATTAATATTACTTACTATCCCAATGAGACAGATCGTAACATAGCCTTGGATTAAAAAAAAAGAAATATAGGAAATACAGAAAAAAATATTTATTATATAAAAAGTCAGTTTATTTCAATGCAAATTAGCACGTCAAATTTTTAACTTGCGATATAAAGATTTTCTTCACTTGGACATTTTAATGTTTATTAATGATACCACTAGTACATATAATGTATCTGATTGCAAAAGTTAAATAATTATTAAAAATTAAAAAATATTTTTATAGAATGTTATAAAAAAGTACAATGTATCAGATATAAAAAGAAAACTAACAAATTAATATAATAGAGTGTAGATAAAAGAATTAAATATTTCTTATATACTTCTTATGTTCTTATGTTCTTTAATACTTAATATGTTGATAATATTAGGAATATTAGTAAAAATATTTATATCTAGATTATATAACATCGATAAGCAAGTATTTGATTAATTATATTGATCTCTTGCTTGTTCTTAAACATATAGTAGTTCAGTTTTGAAACAACAATTTTTTTCAAAATCCACACATATAGATTTTGCATTTAAGTTCATGTTTTTTTTTTTCATATACTTGGCATATTCTTTTTCTTTTGTGGAAGCGTTTTGTTATAGCATTCTATTTGTAAATTCTCTATTGATCTTTCGAATTCAACGAAGCTCACAGAGTTGATAACCGAAAATTTCCAACTCGGGTAGCGCATATACCCTTCTTAATGATAGACGATATCGCAGTTGCGACAAATATATTTGCCCGGGAAACAGCAGCTGAGGATACATATCATCTTACAGGGTCCGGCGGTATATCGTGTGAAGAGAAGCAGATTATCTTGGACGAGCACAATCGATTGAGGCAACTAGTAGCGCTGGGACAGATACACGGTCAACCTAGCGCGGAGAACATGATGGAAATGGTAAGCCATCGTCGTTGTTGTCTTCGCCTTTGTCCTTATCGTTACTCATCTTATTCCGCCGAAGAACCGTCATCTCCTATAAATTTCTATAAAAAGAATTTCTATAAAAAGAAAGGAGAATGGAAATGAAAACCGCGAATTGCTCTCGAAGTTCCGCCAAGTAAAATCTCATTCGAAATAAGTGTGAAAATGCACCCCAAATAATAATGAAAATACTGTCATTCGGAATCGCAAGAGGAAATGTTTCATTTAAATCTAAAGAAATATGGCCAAGATCAAGATATATATAATTATATAAAAATATAATTATATAAAATATAATTATATAAATGTATAAAAATATAAATTATATATGATAATATATGAATTTTATGTTACCTGGTGGTACAAGCTGACAGTCTCTCAAAGTCAAAGGTTGCTATCCTTTTAAGACCTGCTGTCCATGTATGCCGGCCTCCACCGTTGCCCCCCCTTATCCGGTGCAAATAATAGAAATAATATATATATTTTATGTTTGTATATTAATGTGTATAATCATATGAAATTATGTATACTCGCACCGGAAGAAAACGCTGTTAAATAAAGAAAAGAAGAAATTGTTTTCCTGGGAAAAAGATCATATATGATTACATACAATTATATAAAGTTATATATTATTATATATAAATTATATGTAAATTTTGTCTTTATATGGTCACATATATAATCATACATGTCTACACGGAAAAAGAATGATATTAAGTAAAAAAAGGAAGAAATAATTTCATTGAAATAAACATCGATATCATATGTTGATAAATATAAACACTTCAATTATATTTGTATAACAGCCTCTTTTTCCTTGTAGGCACATATGATTATGCATTATTATATATGACTGTACAAAAATAGACAAAATTCTTGTATAATCTTTTTTTCTAAGTCGTTCAAAATTATACAGTGTCCCATTTTAAATGAGCCAGGTAAAAATCTCGAAAAATATGAAAGATACTAAGAAACAAACGTTTCAAACAATAGTTGTATAGTTTCAAAGGGAACATAAAACAATTACATAATTTTATTTACAGATGGCGCCACTTTCAATATATTCACTGATCATTATTTTTCTTAAATAGAAATCCAAATTTTTTATTTTATCATCATTTTCTACCAATTAATTTAAACAACTTTGTCTGAAACATTTTTTTATTTACCTATTTTCTGAGATATTTAAGGAAAACTTGATAACTTTTTCAACATTTAACTTACGATATCTCACTATTTGTCGAAAGAAAAAATAATACTAGACTCTTTTACTCTATTTACTCTCAAGAATATATTGTTACAATAGTGGCTTAACTTTTGTCAATTTATCGACCTTTGGAATTTCAAAATCATCAAATTAACAAAAGTCAAGGCGCTATTGTAACAATATATTTTTAAGACCAAATAAAGTAAAAAAGTCTAATACCACTTTTCTTCCGACAAATAGTTAACGAGATATCGTAAGCTATATAAATATCGAAAAAGTTATCAAGTTTTCTTTAAATACTACAAAAAATATTGCACAAATAAAAAAATGTTTCAAACAAAAGTTATTAAAATTAATAGGTAGAAAAAGATGATATGACAAAAAATTGGGGTATCCATTTGGGAAAAATAATAATCACTGAATATCTCGAAAATGACGCCATCTGTAAACAAAATGATATAGTTGTTTTATGTCCCCCTTGATACCATAACTCTTAAAACCACAACTTTTGTCTAAAATGTTTTTAGTATATTTCGTATTTTTCGAGATTTTTACTTAGCTCATTGAAAATGGGACATTCTGTACATTTATATCACAGGCCGCAAATAAAAATAAGCAGTTACTTTAGCTGCATCTAAACAATAGAGTTTTTTCAGTGCGAGTATATAATTTTATATGTTTATTTAAGATATAGAGACAAAATTCATATATAATTAAATATAATTATCTTGTCGATCAAAATATTCATTGAGTTATACGAATTCATTCAATTTAATAAATATCTCAGCCGATTAAGCTGAATTTGCGTAATGATGAAAAGAGCATTAGATTTACTTTAAAATGAAAATTCACTCGACGATTCGAAGTAAAGAATTCACTCTATATGAAGGAAAAAACCTTTAGATTCGAGTGATTCAGTTGTCACTCTTCTTTTCGTTTGCGATTTCGCGGGGATCGCCGTTTTTTATAAATTTGTGCGAAATAAGAGCTGAAAGAAAGAAGAGAAAGAAAACCGCAAGTCTCGATCTTTTCGATAAAAATCTCGCAAACAGATCCAACAGAGAAGAATCGATTTCTCCCACGTCGACGCGAAATTGATCTCACGTTTATCTCGACGTCGACCGGTACTAATTAAACTCCAACAAACCACCTTAGTCCCGGTTTTTCGCCGCGCATTGGGAATTGTCCGCATTATATTGGATATTTATATCCATTTGTTAAAAGAGCACTCCGGTTCGTTCGCGTGCGCATGCACGCGAAGAGCGCTAATTTGCATGACGGCCCCGCAGCGGGTTACACGAAGTTAAAGTCGGTTTTACCGCCCGGTAATATTTCGCGAATACGTTACGCGCGAGCGTGATTAACTCAGTGTGTAAGTTATTAATTGCTGTTACAGATATGGGACGACGAACTCGCCGCTATAGCGCAAAGATGGGCGGATCGTTGCGCGGAGACGCACGACAGTCTAAGGAACGTCCGTAAGTGAGACTTTATCTCGAGCGACTAGTTCCGCTAATTTGCGAAACGATATGTTACATATAATAATCTTTGGGAGCAATTAAAAATACCGAAAATGGAGGAAAAATAGACACGCGTAATCCCGAGGAGAGTTTCGAACCGAAACAAGCGCAACATTTTTCCAACAAAAAGTCCGAATGTCGAGACAATTTCCTGCGATACGACTTTCCAGAAATATTAGAGGCATGCGATTATCCCGAAAAAATACAATCCCGAGATTTGTATAACGAAACGACGTTGTAAATAAAAACACAGTTATTACGTATATTTATATATGACTATATAGAGAGAAAATTCGTACATGATTATATGTAATTATTTTTTGTCACGTATTATCGATCAAAATATTTATCGAGTTGTACGGATTAATTCAATTTAATGAATACCTTAGTCGATTAGGATTAGGATGAATTCGTTCCGATAACGATGAAGAGAGCATTAGATTTACTCTTTAAAGTGAAAATATTCACTCGACGACTCGAAGCGAAGAATTTACTCTGTATAAATGAGAAAACCTTCAACGAATGGAACACAACTCGCCAAAATAATAACAACAGCAACAACAATAAAGTACATCTTATTTTCATTTTGAGTTTCCCAGTTGCCATGTGGCGGTCGCGAAGATATATTGAAGCTTATTCATTTGAACATTAGTATCAGAAATTTAATAAATAATGTGCTTTATTCAGAATATAGGTAAGAATGTCTTTATTTCCAACATATCGGCAACGATTATTTCGCCTGGAACAAATAAAAATTTGAGACTTTCCAACGACGGTATTTGTCTACCGCAAGAACCGCCAACAAAGATAAACACATCGCGATGTGCCTTGAGTGCTTCTTCGCGAATGAGTTCGGTAATAAAATTCAAGCATGCGGATGTTGGCGCATCGCTTCCGAGAGCTTGCCGTCGAGTTTGGACAATTCTTATAAACACAGTCGAGAAGAAAGACTCCGCGAAGCGTTACGGAAGGAACGGGATAGACTTTTGTTACTTCGGTTACCTACACCATGTTCGGGTAACATACAACAAAGCAGTTCATTTAAAGCTGGATACAGACTTAAGCACGAACGCGCATGAGGCAAGCAGAGGCCGCATGAGCATGCAAGTGTGGACGTTGGTCCGAGGCGCGGCAGACTGCCTCGGATGATTCGCCGCACGAGCTCGGACCGAGCCGAGCACTGTCAGTCCATCAAAGATAATTCGTGCTCAGTTTGGACGCACTCGAGCACACGTAAGGAAGATAGCCGCGCACGACACGAAAAATTAAGAACAAAACTGCTGACTCCGAACGACCGGAGCAACGTCGAACAGTTGTCTCGATTTGCCTCATGCGTTCTCATGCGGAAACTTTAATTTTCAATCCGAGGCATTCGATGTGGCCTCAGCTTGCCTCATGCGCGTTCGTGCTCAAGTCTGTATCCAGCTAAATATTTTCTCACCACTCTTGGAATTAGTGCGGAAAATTTGAAATTTCATCGAGGAACTTGATTCAAGTGCTCTGTCTTTCGGCTTGAAGTTTCGGGGTGAAATTTTGGTTTTGTCGTCGCTATCTTTTACGGAATTAATTCTTGCATCAACAGGTTATGCATATATTGTAAATAATTTTTTCAATTCTGTTGATCTTCCATGCGGCATTCCGTTTGAATTTAAACGTATCTTTCTGCGCTTAAATTTAAATCTCGATTTATAACGAAATTTATTTTTATTCTTGTTTTTATCTCTTCGGAATTTTGATTTATTTATCTTCCATTATGTACCAATGAATGTGAAAACTTTTTGCACATTAATTTGTTTAACTGTCTACTATTATATTTCTGTAATCTGTACGCTGAAAAGTTTTTTCGTCTACAAAGATTATTGTAATAATTTTTCAATATATTTTATTGTTGTTATTTCAGAAGAGCTGTATTTTTCGGCATATTGTCTCGTTCTATTGATCTCATTGTTGTAATGTTTTGAAACAATCGAATATTTCCAATGCTTCAAAAACATCATATTTCGAGAGATTGTCTCAGTATTTGAATTTCGGGATGATTTTTCGGGAAATTGTGTCACTTTTCAAATTTCGGGATTTTGATTTTCCGAGGGATGATGCAAGTCCTGCAAAAGTAAAAGCAGCATTGCATTTGAAAGCTCTTCTCTCGCGGCAACTGAAAAGCAATCAAAAGAGCAATTTTCCACCATGCCGGTAACGCTGCAACCGGAAATCCAATATTCCGAAACTTTTTCTACATAATACGAAAAAAACATACACGACCAATTAACAAGGGTAAAGACACGAGATATACACACTGGTTATGCGAGCGACAAATCAAAACACGAGCACATCCGTATAAAAAATGTCCACTAAAAGAATGAACGAACGAATGAATTAGCGATATTAACTTCTTCAGGGACGAATTTATTAAAATCAGTAGAAACTGATTCGATTTTAAAGCGGAAAATATAATCATATGTCGATCGCATTACAAGATTTATCTCTATCTTGTAAACTTTCTGACGAATATTTATTCATAATGTTTCCCGGCGAAAAATGATTATATATAATTTTTTATATATAATTATATATGAATTTCGTCTCTAAATTATCATGTATAAATATACGTATATATATAATTATACAGGATGTCTCATTTTAAATAAGTCAGGCAAAAATCTCAAAATATATGAAAGATACTAAGAAACGTTTCAGACAAAAGTTGTACAGTTTCAAAGGAGACGTAAAACAACTATATCATTTTGTTTACAGATGGCGCTACTTTCAAGATATTCACTGATTATTATTTTTCTTAAATGGAAACCCCAATGTTTTATTATTATATATTATCTTTTTCTATCTAATAATTTGAATATTTTTCTATTTGCCTAATATTTTTGAGACATTCATGGAAAATTTGATAACTTTTTCAATATTTAACCTACGATATTTCGCTAACTATTTGTCGAAAGAAAAAATGGTATTACTGTTTTTACTTTATTTGATTTCAAGAATATATTGTTACAATAGCATCTTGACTTTTGTTAAGTTGATGATTTGGAAACTTCCAAAGGTCGATAAGTTAAAAAAAGTTAGGATTGTAACATTATTGTAACAATATATTCTTGAGATCAAGTAAAGTAAAAACGTCTAATACTATTTTTTTTTTCGACAAATAGTTAGCGAAATATCGAAAACTAAATATTTAAAAAGTTACCAAGCTTTCCTTAAATATTTTGAAAACTGGGCAAATAAAAAAATGTTTCAGAAAGTTGTTCAAATTAATTGGTAGAAAAAAATGATATAATAAACAATGGGATTTCTATTTAAGAAAAGTAATAATCAGTGAATATCTTAAAAGTGGCACCATCTGTAAACAAAATGATATAGTTGTTTTATATCCCCCATGGAACTATATAACTTTTATCTGAAACGTTTCTTATCTTTCACATTTTTTTGAGATCTTTGTCTCGCTTATTTAAAACAAGACATTCTGTATATACTACACTGAAAAAAAGAATGTTATTATACAAATACAATTAAAGTAACTGCTTATATTTTGACAACTGTGACGCAGGCATATAATTGGACGCGACGAAATTTCCTTTTTTTTCATTTAACCATTTTTTTTAGTGTGAATATATAATTTCATAAGATTATCTATATGAGTATATAGCGATAAAATTTATACTTGAATCATGTATAATAATATATACTACTAAACAAAATAAAGTACGTATCTCGTACATTTTTACATTTGCGTGAACAACTCGGCAATCTTGACAGATAGGAAAGAAATGTATTCAAAAAAAGATTTCTTAGTGTACTTTTAAATTTTAAGTGAAAAAATTCCAAAAAATGCTTCAAATGTCAAGTATATTTATTATCACGTTTATTTTGAACAAAAAATACGAAATAGATAATAAGAAGAAATAGAAGATACGAATAGATAATAATAAGAAGCAAATTAAAGATAAAATTGGGAACTAATATTTCATATGGTCGCCTTTTGCTTATATGACCACTTGCAAAGGTCAAGGCATACTCTGGACCAGATTTCGGATTTGCTGCTGATCAATATTCTCCCATGCTTCTTCCAAGGCTTCAAACAAGGCTTGACCTTGTTCGTTATATCACCCTTTTTAACTTTTCAGTTCAGAATAAACTATTAATTTTTAATTGGATTTAAATCTGGATTTAAATTGCGCTGGCCATCCAGCAGTTTGATCCTCGAATCGCAGAAGAAGACAGTCTGTTTACGAGCGGTAAGTCTTGGATCCTTATCTCGTTGGAAGATAAAGTCATTTTCTAAACCAGAGTTCGGCAAAATGTGCACACGACGGCCGATTTTTGACTACCTCCGCCCACCGCTATTCCCTTTACCTCGTCGCTCCGCACGCTGCCTACAAGCCGCTCGAGTCTCAGGAGCGTGTTTCCAATAGTTTTCCACGTCATCCATGAAGTACTATTGTTGACGCGTTTTTTTTTAAGTGGTATCCCCAGTAAGCCTAATCCACTGATGACTGTAACAACCCGTAACTAATTGAACAGAAGCGAAATAAAATATGTTAAATGAAGAAAATTCAATTCGATTTTCGGCGTCTTTTATTGGTAAGAGTGGAAACGTCAATTTGAATATTGCATGTAGCAAACCGCATAAGACGTGGTAAGGAATCGTCGCTTAAAGAAGAACACTTCTCATTTTTTATAAACTTCATTTTTGAAAAATGAAAAGGCCTACTGCGGATACCACTTAAAAAAAACTACTTAAAAAAAAAAAAAAACGCGTCAACAATAGTACTTCATGGATGACGTGGAAAACTATTGGAAACAGCCTCCTGAGGCTCGAGCGGCTTGTAGGCAGCGCGCGAAGCGGCGAGGTAAAGGGAATAGCGGTGGGCAGAGATAGTCGAAAATCGGCCGTCGCGTGCACATTTTGCCAAGCTCTGTTCTAAACCAATCTTTAGTAGAGATTCCTT